GTGGTGGGGTGTTCTGGTTAACTCGGCTTATGTGGTCCTAAGAAGTTTAGGTGGGAGTTCCACTCTGGATCCTCTTCTTGGCTTTGAACCTTGTCTTCTGTCCTGCCCCTACCTCTTACCCCTTGCTCCCGCCCCTGCTCCTATTGTGATTCATAGTGACCCTATAGGGCAAGGTAGAATGGGTCAGAACCAGATGCTAAATTTGGAGGCAGGTTTCAGGGGCCCTAACCCAGTCCTTAGGGAAGGTTCACAAAAAGCTTTGGAAAGAAAACAACGTTGAATGCGGTGAAAGGGAACTTGGCTTTATTCAAGGAATGGAAGGAGAATCTCATCGCTAGGGCCAGGGCAAGGGTGATTGGGGTAGGAGGTGGGAGGAGAGGTTTCATGAAAGACAATGGACAACATCCCCAGAATACTGAGGGTTGGAGGTTTCTAATCTACCCAGAGGTGCCTTGGAAGAAAGGCCTGGTGGTCTACTTTTGAGAAACCAGGCACCCAAAGCCTCTGACCCACATGGGCTAGGTAACTAGGAAGCTACCCAGAATGCTTCAAGTGTGAGGTTAAGTCACTCTGAGTATCTGGTAGAGAAGAGAGGAAGCAGGGAAAACCCTTGACAGGCTGCTGCTGCGGCCCTGGAGGGAGGACTAGAAGTTGAGGGTCCAGACTGTGTTGTGGTGCAGAGGAAAATAGTAACCACAGGCCCTTGGAGTGGAGCTCCCTTGCTGGAGCTCTCTTAGTCCAGCGGTTCTCAAGCTTCTGAACGCTGCGACCCTTTCATACAGTTCCTCATGTTGTGGTGACCCCTCAGCCATAACATTATTTTCGTTGCTACTTCATCACTGTCATTTTGCTACTGCATCGGACCTCCAAAGGGGTCGCGACCCACGGGTTGAGAACTGCTGACTCAGTCGCTTACTCATTCATCGTATATCCGAGCCCCACTCTGGGTGAGAAAGTATGGCCAATCTCCCAGTCAAAGGGCAGAAGGGGATGAGGAAATGTCTGCCTACACAATTCCCAGTATTTGGACACTCAGGGTGGTTCCTCTGAATTCCTCTGTCCACGGGGTTCACTTCCTGGTCTTACTACCAGCCTGGCCAAGCTGACTATGCCCTAACTTGGCAGCCAGATGAACTGATGCTGTCAGAAGGGGCTGGCCTGCCCATGGTCACCCACCCTGAGCCAGAGGCAGGTCTGGAACCCAGAGATCCGGGCTCTGCGCTGTTTTTTTCCTTTTGCTGCAGGCTGACTTTCCACGTTGGGATGGTATCCCTCTCAGAGAGCCCCCTCCATCACTGTCAGGCAAGATGAGAAATGGCAGACAGAGGGACGCCTGCTCCCAGCCTGCCTGAGCCAAGCACTATTATTAGTAACAGCCGACGTCTGTGTAGAGGTTTGCAGCCTTAGCCTGGCAGGGACTTTGCAGGCCGTGTCTCATTGGATGCACCTGCTGACAGTGGGAAGTGAACATGATTATCCCTACTTTACCAGACACTCGGAGAGAGAAAGAGGTGGCTGTCTACTCCCCTCCAGGAGTCATAGTCTTGGAAACTCACAGGGGGCAAGTCGACCTGTCCTGTAGAGCCGCTATCAGTTGGTCTCAACTGGATGGCATTGACTCTGATTGGCTGTACCACTGGAGTCCTGGTGGCACAGGAGCAAAGGTGCACAGTTGGAAACCACCAGCCATTCTGCAGGAAACATCTGTCAAGGTCTACCACCTGGGAAACCCGATGAGGCAGTTCTCTGTTCTACGGTGTTTCCAGGACTCTGGATCGATCCCACAGCGATGGGTTAGTTTACAGATGGAGAGACGGAGCCTCCAGGATGGGGATTATTCTGTCTACACAGAATGTCACTGAGGCTCAATGACACACACTCTCCACTGGATGCTGCTTGCCTGCTGTGAGGGGAGACCAGCCCCTCACACTATCATGGGCTCGGTAGGCGAAATTGTACGGTTATAATACATAAAGATTAAAGTAAAGTCATAGAGAATAAGAGAAATA